CATAAAAATAAATAATAAAAATTTTTTAAAGTTATTGTGAAGAACATGACAGTAAGAGTTACCTTCTATTTGGAGAATACTGCCTACATGTAGGCAGAATCTGTCCACTAATGCCCCCCAGCAACAGAATCATACAAAAGTCAGTAGCAGAAGTAGTCATCCTTGTCCAGCATGAGGCCAGTCTTTTCAAACAAATTATAGTCAAAGTCTGTGTGTTTATTAAATATTAAACATTCATAAGCAATAGATTGTAAACACATGCCAAATTTTTATGGATCAATTAATTATCAAGATGTTTCGTATATTTAGGGTTTAGATTTATTTTATTATTAGTTTTTAAAAGAATTATTTGGGGCCTGGAGAGATTGCTCAGTGGTTAAAAGCACTGGGTGCTTTTGCAGAGGTCTGGGTTTTGGCTTCCAGCACCCACCTATTTAACAACTGTCCATAACTCCAGGGGAATCTGGCCTCCATGGGCACTGCATGCACAAGATGCACTTAGATGCAGGCAAAACACTCATATATAAAAATAAAAATTATTTATTTTTTATGTTTTGTCTGCATGTTTGTAAGTACACCAAAGTCATGCAATACCCTACTCATGGAGGCCAGAAGAGGATGTCAGATTCCCCTGGAACTGGGGTTATGAATGGTTGTTTTGTGAGCTGTCATTATGCTGGTGCTGGGACCAGAACTGGGGTCTTCTGCAAAAGCAGCCAGTACTCTACTGAGTCATCTCTTCAGCCCCCCACTTTTGTGTTTTTAATTTCCCCATCAATTGCGGTATAACTGGCCTCATATATTCCATGATGGCTAAGGAGCACTTATAGCTGACTTTGAGGAGGTTAATTTCAGCTCCTTGCTAAGCAGAAATATTTATCTTAAACTGAAGAGTTTCTATGTTCTATGCAGATTTACAAAATGTTGTTGAGATATATGCTTTGAACTTCAATTCACTTATTTGGTTAACAGAATAAACACACTTATTGGAACTATATTGTATGGTTACAGACATTTGATTTCATCATGCTTTTTTAACCTGAAACTCAATTGTAATCTAAATGCTGACAGTTATTTCCCCTTAACAGACCTTGGAAAATCCTCCAGGACATCTAATGGCAGTACTAACACTAAAGAAAGCACTCAACAAGTAGGTGTTAATTGCTGATTATTTCACCCAGAGTGAAAGCCAGATCCAAAAGGTAGGAGAGCCCAGTACCCCGTGAATTGTTCTCTGACCTCCACCCACCCAGAGCCATCCACAAAATTAATAATAATAAAAAAAAATGACTATTTCTAGTCAAATATTTTCTGCAAAGCAGAAAATAGAGTCTTTTCTCCCCTGGTAAATCAGCCTTTGTTGATCTTCTGAATTAACGAGAAAATCTTTTCTTCTAAATAATTTTATCTTCCACAGGGACTAGGGTTATGCTCTAAAATTCAACGATTATATTATTTTTAGCAAGGGGCCTGTGTCCTGTGTTGTGGCTGGCTGAAAACTGGGCTTAAGCAGTCATGCAATTTATTTGGGCAAGAACTATATCGCTCTCAATGTCAATAAATCAACATTAGGCGATTAAGATTTTTTTTTTAAAAGACCCAAAGAAACGAATCAAAGCCTGAATCTGCCAGAAGCATCCATTTACAAAATTTCTGTTCTGTACAAGGAAAATGACAGGTCGATTTGCAGAAGTTGATAATGATTTTATCAAGCATTCATCACATCTGTTATGCTGAAAATAATTTCCTGAAACCAGAGCTAAAGAAGACCAGAAGCGGCATGAATGGAACTGCCACTCCTCTCCTGGGACTCGCATACGTGTTTTTCCCGGCCCGCAGGACTCTAGTACGTGCTGGGAAGCCGACATTTTTCCTTCGCAGGGCTTCCACACATTCCAGGTCTGAATGGATGTTAAATGGGGCCCAAGGACAGGCGGCTCTTCACCGTCCACTTAAACAGCCATGAACCGCGGAGTAGGCCGGACGACTGACCGGATTCCGCGCCCCTGCGGAACGCGGGGAGGGACGCAGCGACACGCAGACCCGCAGGTAGCCCGGAGCCGCAGCTGCTGACCCCGCCCCACGGCTCGGCGCCCGCTGCGCAGCCGACTTCCGCCCCCGGCGGGCTCGGCTCGGGCGGCCTCTGCAGCAGGGCCGCGGAAACCCCGTAGGAGCGGGGTGACGAAGAGCGCGGCGCACGGCGCTGCTGCAATATTCTTCCGCTGAAAGCAAAGAGTCCCAGCCCAGCTCCGGAACCCGGGTCTCTAGAAACGCCGTAATAGCGAGAAATCCTGAACTGTGGGTGACATCCTCGTCTCGCTTAGGATTTCACGTGCGATGACAAGGTCTAGGAGCGCATTTTTGTGGCTCCCCAAAAGGGACAAGAAAATTCCTCCGCGAGAAACGGGTTCCGGCCGCGAGCCTATAAAAAACGAGCGGCACGGTGCGGCTGCCTTTCCAGTCGGGCGCTGAGGCGTTTGCGGATCATGTCTGGTGGCTCCGCGGATTATAACAGGTACCGGGTGGGGCGGGGGCCGAGGCCGGGTAGCGCAGAGGCTTGGAGACTGAGCGTCGGCCGCTCCAGGTGTGCGGCGCTTTCTTGGGGTATGAGCTGCCCTGGAGTCCTTCGAGAAGCTTTCGTGATCGGCACGGCTCCGGATGGCGGGTCACGGGCCGGGGCCGGGGCGGCGCAGTGGCTGTGGGTGTCGTTCTTTACACATTGTGACATCCCGGGTGGGCCCGTGCAGTCGGACGGGCGCAGTCGCACCGGCTCCCCGAGCCTTATTTGCGGGCAGCGGCGCGAGCGGGCTTCCCGGGTTTCGTCGAGTGGGAGAGTTGCCGGCCAGACGGCTAGCACCGCGGACGGGGCACGGGAGAACCGTTGGCGTAGCCGGGCCGGCGGCGTCAATCACGCCGGCTTGCGCAGAGTTAGGGGCGGAGCGAGGGCGCAGAGCACTCGCGATAGCTTCGCGGCTAAAACGGGAGCTGCCTGCACTGGAGCCCGAGGGAAAGGGGCTTCCTGTGTACACCCTGGGCCTTAGGGAAGGTGCTTGGTGCTACGTGTGCTCCCTTCCCCGCACCGTCTGGGTTGGAACTTTGACGTAAACTACTCACACTCGGAGGGTAACGTGATGAGACGCGTTAGGAAAAGGCCATTAAAGGGCGCTTAAGGTGGCTTGGGAGAGGAGCATGCGGTCTGACTGCAGTGTTCTTGTCAGCAGAGAACATGGAGGCCCAGAGGGAATGGACCCCGATGGTGTCATCGAGGTGAGAAATGGCTGTGGATTTTGAAGGTTTGGGAGGGTGAGTCGTGTTCGTGGTATTCATGCTTCGAATTTTATTAACTTACAGAGCAACTGGAATGAGATTGTTGATAACTTTGATGATATGAATTTAAAGGAGTCTCTTCTTCGAGGCATCTATGCTTATGGTTTTGAGAAGCCTTCAGCTATTCAGCAGAGAGCTATTATTCCTTGTATTAAAGGTAAAACTCGTTGACATTTAAAACCTGAATTCGCTGTTCTGCGTATACATGGACCTTAGGAGGGAAAGTAATCTCTGGGGAACTACTAGCACCTATCTGTATTCCTTAAAGTGAAATGATGGCAATCATCTTTCGGGACTGACCTGAAGTGAAGAGAATACTCTTGCTGATCACTTGGGCATAATTTATGTTCCAACTGGAATACATGGTGTATAGTAGAAGTGACAATTTGATGTGGGATCGGTAAATATGTATCCTACTTTTTTTAGGGTATGATGTGATTGCTCAAGCTCAGTCAGGTACTGGCAAGACAGCCACATTTGCTATTTCCATCCTGCAACAGTTGGAGATTGAGTTCAAGGAGACCCAAGCACTAGTATTGGCCCCCACCAGAGAACTGGCTCAACAGGTATTGATAGTGTAGTTCAAAAACTGCTTGGTGTTGCATAGGTTTCAGGTTTCACAACTGTGAAGAATTTAAAGTGTAAATGATCCTACAAGAGCCCCTATTAGTCCATGCATGCAGGGAGTTTGTTGAAAGCTAAGCAGGGACTGGGTATTGTCGTAGGTATGGTTTGTAGGGCTGCACATGAACAGGTTGAGAATCCATAAGTTTCTCTTAAGGGTGGATTAGATCTGTACCCTTTTTTAAACTTTGAATGCAGTTGTGCAACATGAAAACTGCAGTGACATGCTAAAACATTTGACTATCTCAGTTTGTGATGCATCTGTTGCATGCTATGTTTTCAGAGCTCACTGTTGTAATTGGCTTTGAAGTAACATCCTAATGAAGTAGCAGGCTATATTTAAGTCGCGATTATGAGGAAAAGGACCTTGTGGGAGAAAAATTTGCCTTAACTTGTTTCATGTATAACCCACACCGTGAAGGATGTAGAAATTTTTATTTAAAAGCACCTAGCTTATGTTTCAGGCAGCAGGGTCCCAAGTTTTACAAGACAGAAAGGAATAATAAATAGCTCAATGGGTCAGTATTGTTACGCTTGGAAGTAGTTTTGTGCTGTGCATGCATAAAAGCTGTTTGGCAGACAGACAGTTGACATTATGCCTTGGAACTTAGGCTTAGCTTAAATTCTACAGGATATTTGGTTTATTTTTTTTGACTTTTAGATCCAAAAGGTAATTTTGGCACTTGGAGATTATATGGGAGCAACTTGTCATGCCTGCATTGGAGGAACAAATGTTCGAAATGAGATGCAGAAGCTACAGGCTGAAGCCCCACATATTGTTGTTGGCACACCAGGGAGAGTGTTTGATATGCTAAACAGAAGGTATCTTTGTAAGTATTCCTTCAAGAGCATTTATATTATAATCCAGAAGTAGTGAGAATTGTTGATAACTGTGATTTCATATTACCAGCTCCAAAATGGATCAAAATGTTTGTTTTGGACGAGGCAGACGAAATGCTCAGCCGAGGGTTTAAGGATCAAATCTATGAGATTTTCCAAAAGTTGAATACGAGCATTCAGGTAAGATTCCACCCCTCAGTTTTGGTTTCATGCAGGTACAGTTAGAATATAACTGAAGTGTTTTATTGTCGTTCTCCCTGCTTACAGCATTTGATGCATTACTATATCTGCCTAGCTCTACCATAGTAAGACAGATGCTTGGTTTCAAACATTACTTCCACCAATATTAAGTGAAAGTTCTGTTAGGTATACATGTGATAACATCATCGTTTCTTCTCAAGGTTGTGTTGCTTTCTGCCACAATGCCAACTGATGTGTTAGAAGTAACCAAAAAATTCATGAGAGATCCAATTCGAATTCTGGTGAAGAAGGAAGAATTGACCCTTGAAGGAATTAAACAGTTTTATATAAATGTTGAAAGAGAGGTAATTTATCTAATTAAATACAGAACTACAACCAGACTTTACCTTCTTGTATAAGCACTGTGCTAAAATTACAGAAACTAGGATTAGGTCTTGGTTTTTGTAATGATGCTAGCAGAGTACACACAGGAAGAAAAGTAACTGCACTGGATCCTAAAGACAGGGGTGGACCTCTTTCTTAATGTCCAGTGTCCTTTGTCTTAAGATTTGGTGCGATATAATGTCTTTAAAAAGACATAACAAAAATACAAGAAATTGGGGCTGGAGAGATGGTTCATCAGTTAAGAACAGTGGTGGTCTTGCAGAAGGCCTGGATTCAAATCCCAGCACCCATATGGCAGCTAACAACTACATAATGACAGCCTCTTCTGACCTCTGGGCATTGCACAACACGGGTGCACTTAAATGCAGGCAATACATACATGAAAAAAATTTTTTTGATGAGAAATTTTAAATTTGACTTTGTCTAACATTCTAGGAGTGGAAGTTGGACACACTTTGTGACTTGTACGAGACATTGACTATTACACAAGCAGTTATTTTTCTCAATACAAGGCGCAAGGTGGACTGGCTCACTGAGAAAATGCATGCCAGGGACTTCACCGTTTCTGCTCTGGTAGGAGTTGTATTAATAAGTAATTTTATGTCCATTCATTGAAGCAGGATTTAACTACAGTATAGCTGTTAAGTGCTATGTTGTCGTTCCCCCTGCTCAAAACAATGTTGTTTCTTAACTATACCTGTCTGCTAGACACCTGTAGCAGCCAGGGACGCTTGGTCTCATACATGATAAAATTAAATGTTCACCCAGAGGGAATTCTTGAATTAAGATTTGTTTCTTTGCAGCATGGTGACATGGACCAGAAGGAGAGGGATGTCATCATGAGGGAATTCCGATCAGGATCAAGCCGTGTTCTGATCACTACTGACCTGTTGGTAAGGCTGCTGCTATTTTTGTTTTGTTGTGTACCAAAAGCTAATTTTGGGGGAGGTTTTTTTTAATAACCTTTACCAACTTGGGCTATTTGGCAGAGCGATTAAGACCACACTCCACAGTGGGCTATACCAACTAGTATGGTTCATTACTATCTTGTGGCCTACACTGATTGCGTGGACGTGCAGTAATTTGAATTAGGATTTTGAACAGAGTATCATTTTATTTCAGGCTCGAGGGATTGATGTGCAACAAGTGTCTTTGGTTATAAACTATGATCTCCCTACCAATCGTGAAAACTATATTCACAGGTGAGAAGACAGCATCTCCATTCTTTGAGAAGTAAATCCATGTGTTGCTTTTTCTATTGTGTTTACCTATGCAAGGTAATGGCAAATCAGGGAATAAAGTCATAGTAACATAACTTAGTAAGGACTCATTAAATTTGTACTTGGGATGATTTGACTGGTCAAAGTGGGAAAACTTGTAAATGTTGCCCAGGTTGTGTACATACATGCAGATTAGGTTGTTTTAGATCTTTTGGTTTTAGCTTACGTTTGAGTTCAGTGGTGGTCTTGTGTTCATGTGCTTTTTGGTGATTTGATTCTTCTGTAGTTGGGATTTTCTTGGTGTCTCCTGGTAGCAATTTGAGTGATCCCTGGTTTAGTTATAGTGGCTTTATCCCTAAATAAATTGAATTGTACTTTGTTATATGATGTAAAAAAAAGACTTTTTAAAAACAGGAGTCGATAGCACCAGTTGATGACGAGATGGCACTCAGAAACGACGACGTAATTTAGGACGTGGAATCATAAGCGAAACAGCACACTGTTTGAATAAAGAGCGAGTCGGTATTTATATTTGATTTTCTTTTGTCATGATTATTTGATACTTTAAGTTCCAGCCAGGGCATTATGTATGCTAGCATTTATCAGGGAGCATTATATTAGGTGGTTTGTATCGTCTGGTGACGCTGTAGGGAGGTAGAGAGGTGTTTTGGAGGTAAACACGTTTAAGTAACTATGACGTGTGAAAAGAAGCTGAGCAAAAAAGCAGTGATAAGTTTGGGCTACCATACCAAATACTTGCTTTCCCACTGGAAAATAGTTGTAAGTTTTAGAACGTAGTTAACCTTGCAGCATTTGTATTTACAGTTTTACTGTTCCAGAACTGCGTCGAAATGGATTACATAACTTGTCTTTGTTTTATCCCTGGTGTTTACATCTGTCCCAGGCTGACTACTGCTCTTGGCTGGCCCACTTTGGTATGGGCTTTAATTTCACCCCAAACACCATACTGTCATCTGCTTTATTACAATGCTCAAGGCGCCTATCTTATTTTGCAGTCATACAGGCCTTGAATCCTTTTGGCACTAACTGCAAAGGAAGATTTTTCTCTGGATACTGGTTTTAGCAGCTAGTGCTCCAATTAGAAGCACGAACTATAACCTTGCTAAGTAAACAGCAGCTGGTGGTTAACAAGTGGATCGTCATGTTCAGTAGTTCATAAAAGTACTTGAAGTAACTTTCTGATTGTTGGTTTCTTTTTCTTACACAGAATTGGCAGAGGGGGTCGATTTGGGAGGAAAGGTGTGGCTATAAACTTTGTTACTGAAGAAGACAAGAGGATTCTTCGTGACATTGAGACTTTCTACAATACTACAGTGGAGGAAATGCCCATGAATGTGGCTGACCTTATTTAATTCCTGGGATGAGATAGTTTGGAATGCAGTGCTCACTGTTGCTGAATAGGCAATCACAACGTGCACTGTGCTTCTTTGGGAATATTTGAATCTTGTCTCAATGCTCAAAACGGATCACAAATACAGATTCTGATAGCAAAGCGACTTTAGTCCTGAGCTCTTGTGAGGAGAGAGGCATTAGCTTCATCCTCCTTAGAGTTAGACTGTTGGGGTGGGTATAAAAGATGGGGTCTGTAAAATCTTTCTTTCTTAGAAATTTATTTCCTAGTTCTATAGAAATGGTTGTATTAGATGTTCTCTATCATTTAATAATATACTTGTGGACTAAAAGATATAAGTGCTGTATAAAATCAGCCAATTATGTTAAACTAGCATATCTGCCTTTATTGTGTTCATCATTAGCCTGAACAGAAAGGCCTTTAAAAGTGATTTTTTTTTTTAGAAAGCATTTAAATGCGTATGTTTGGTGTATTGTATTTATTCTCAATAAAGTATTTAATTAGTGCTAAGTGTGAACTGGACCTTGTTGCTAAGCCTCAGCAAGCAATCATATCTTAGGTAGGGTTAAGCCCTCAGTAAAACTGCACATGTCTTAAGTTTGAATGTTAAATAAATTGTATATTCACTTTACATGTGGCTTTTTTGTCATTTTATTTTCATTTTACAAAATTCTGTCAACAATTCTGAGTTACTTGCTGCATCACAGTTGCACAAAGGCTCATCAACTGCAGGTGTTCATCAGAACCGTCTGCTAAACATTTATCAACTTCCTGTAAAGAAATAGAAAAATTAAGATTTCAGGGATGTTAAATTTGTTGCTATGCTGTTGGGTTGCCTACTTACAGCAAGTTTTTCTGTAATAACAGACTTCTGTTTATCAGAAAGGTTTTCATCTTCCACAACCACATCATGAAGTTGGTTAACAAGCTGAATTGCTGCATGTCCTTCATCTATTAGGTCCTGAAAAACAAATTGTGCTTAAAACTTGGTCCCCTACATTTTATTCAGAATAAAAGTGCTTTAACTGACATTACCTTTACCACAGCTTCCAGTTTGTCAAAAGAGCCACCGCGACATGCAGTGACTATTCCATCAATTGTTGCTGCTGGTATTACCTAAAAGTGGGTATTAAAGATGGAAGATACCTGTAGCTCATTGCAAATGTTTGAATTCCAAACCAAAATTCAGACCCCAAGTTTGGGGCTTTTGTAGCAGAAAGGTTCAGGAGCTGGAAATGGGGTTCTATGACCTATTTTAAGGGTGGCTGTTGAGTTTGGTTGTGGGAACATTGAAAGGTGAGCCAGGTGTGGGTGTGCAAGCCTTTTAGTTGCAGCATTGAGAAGCAGCATTGAGAAGCAGGCTACATAGTGAGACCCTATCCAGATCTGACCTTGAGAATGCAGATGCCTTGTGTTTCACACGTTTACTTCCACACTTGGACTCTAATTGCTTTATGATTATGCTTTATGATTATGAAAGGTAGGCACAGGTTACAAGTAAATTTGAGGCACAGTGTCATGTAGCCCAGGAGTATCTTGACCACCTGATCCCTTACATCTCCATCTCCCCAAGTACTGGGATTTCAGGTAAGTGCCATGATGCTTAGCCATATATCACTTTATATAGTTACTTGCACACTGTCCAGTCCTAGAATCAACTCTTCCCCTCCACCAATGACTATGATCTTCAAAATAGATTTCATGTAGTAACAGGATACCTGCTGAAAACTGATTTTAAATGTCTTTTACACTCTTTGAGACAGGGTCTCATTGCCCAGGCTAGCCTCCTTAGTGATTATTCCTTTTAAAATTAAGAATTCCTCAAGTGTTCTAGCACCGAATTTGTGATGGAAACTATAATGTCACAAGGACAAATGTCTAAGTGTGCTTACCCCAGCAATGTCTGTGATCACTTTTTCCATGATTTCCTTTCCACCTGTTAGACGAGTAGCACTTTGAAGAAAGGTAATGGCTTTCCGTAAATCTCCTTCTGATACTTTAACAAGATAGGCTATTCCCTGAAGAGAGAAGTGTAATAAAATCTGGCTTTCACAAAGAAAATTGGGCTGGAGAGATGGCTCATTAAGTCAGGGTACTTGTCACATAAGCCTGATGACCTCAGTTTAATACCTAGCACCCACAGTGGAAGGAGAGACCCTCTTGACTTTTACATGTGCACGTGTGCACACTAATGTTAAAAGCAAAAAACCCCATGAGGTTTTCTATTAATGAGGAAAAATAGCTTGGGATACTATTTTTAGTCCTATAGTGGCAGAATTCATCTAAGTGGGAAGCTAGAGATCTTTGAACAGTAAAGGGAACTGGCAGATGTGAGTAGTTTCTCATTTTGTGGTTCACTTCAAGCAGAAAATTCAAATTATGGTTAAACTCTAGGAATCTAGGAGACTAAAACCTTGTCATGTAGACTTATTGCAGAATTTGCATTAATACATATGAAACCTATTTTGTGTTTCTGAAATAATAGACAAACTGTTTTTTTGGGGGGGGGGCTGGGCAAAGTGGCTTTATTAGAGAGCCAGGATCACACAGGCCTTAGGAGTTAGCATTGGGGCCCAATGCTAAGTAGCTTAACCAAAAAAGTAACAAAGTAACAGTAATCCTTGAGTCCTAAACATTTCAGTGTTCACTTAGCTTCAACTTGTTTCAGAACATCCAGAGTTGAAGCAGTGAACATTAACTTCCAAAACCTTATCATGTACATTTTTAAAAGGAGTTAATTAGTCATTACCTCACTGCTAATTTTGACATTTTCCTTCTCGGCAATATCTAGCAATCGCTTTTGCTGAATTTTATCTGATAGAGGCTTGAAGCGGAATTTTGAACATCTAGAGGTCAGGGGCTCAATTATTCTGAAAGAGATTGAAAACAAACCAAGTTGGTATCTATAAAGTAGCTTAGGAAGGACTTTATTCTCACCACAAATCTGAGGTCACTTTATTACATGTGTATATGTCTATAAAAATGTCACATGGTACCCCATAAATACAATTACTGTGTGTTACAAAACTCTAGCAATGGATCTTCAGGACAATATACATACCGACTGACATAGTTACAGATGAGACAGAATCTGGTTGTTTTAGACTCTTTTTCCATGGTACGTCTTAAAGCTGCCTGAGCAGCTGAGGTCATAGAATCTGCTTCATCCAGAATTACAATCTTAAAAGGAGGACATGACTTCCCACTAATTCAGAGAAACACATAGGAGTTGAACATAAACTTGTGTATTAGTTTTGCTGTAATGTAAAATACAGTTGAACTGCTTATAGTGTAAAACATGCTTTCTTTAAAAAAATATTTTAATTTTATGTGTATGAGTGTATTGCCTGAATGTAGGTAAGTGCACCTGTGTCGTGCAATGCCAGTGGAGGACAGAAGAGGCCATCAGATCCCCTGGGACTGGAGTTACAGACAGTTGTTAGCTGCCATGTGAGTACTGGGATTTGAACCCGGGTCTTCTGCAAGAACAACCAGTGCTCTTAACCGCTAAGCCATCTCTCCAGCCCCGTAAAACATGCTTTCAGTATATGGTAATCCAGATCTTATACATTGTCCTGTTCATACCTATCTAGTTTATTTTTATTTGTAAGTATGAGTGCTTTGCCTGCATGTATGTAAGTGCATCTGTATTATGCAATATCTGTGGTGGTGTTCTCAAGAAAAGGGTGTTGGATCCCCTGGAACTGGAGTTATGGATGGTTGTTAGCCACTATGTTGGTGCTGCAAATTGAACCTGGGTCCTCTGCAATAGCAACCAGTGTTCTTAACCACTGGACCATCTCTTTAGCTTCTAGTTTAAATTTGATGTATTACTGTATGTGTATGGTGTGTATGGGAAGGTATATGTATGCTATGGTGCTCATGTGGAAGTCAGAGGACAGCAACTCTGGAGTTGGTTCTCTCCTTCCATTTTTATGTTGGGTTCCAGGGATCCAAACTCAGGTCATCAGGCTTACACTGAAGGTGCTTTACCCTGAGTCATCTCACTGGTCCCACAGTTTAATAGTAGACACAGTGAGAGATTAACAGTAATAGTGAAATGCAACAATTATAATACCACTGTTAGAGCACCAGTGTTCCTGTGCTTTAGGGTTTTTAACAGTAAGAGGGGTTACTTGAACACAAACCCTTTCAGACTGCTGCCAACAGATGACTTGGTAACAGTTACTAAAATGACTTGTGCGCACACAGAGTGGGCATCCTAGACAAAGGGATGATTTATGTACTGGGCAGGTCAGAATGACCTTTCCCCTTGCTACTTAGAATGGCATGCAATTTTTAAAAAATATTTTATTATTTTTATTTTATGTGTATGAGTGTATTACCTACATGTATGTGAGTATACCCATGTCATGCAATGCCACAGAGATCAGAAAAGGGCTTCGGATTCCCCTGGAACTGGAGTTAAGGACAGTTCATAGCCACCATGTGAGTGCTGGGAATCGAAAATGCCCGAGATGAGTGAGGTGAAGACTCCGTGGTGGCTGGAGTCTCTTCAGTGGCAAGTAGAAGGGGATGAATCAGAGATAAGAAGCCTTGATAGTGTTTTAAAGGGCTGTGCATATTATTCATACTACTGTGTAAGATGAGGACCCACAAGATAGTTTTGTGTAGTGTTGTGATCACAATGTTACGAGCAAGGTTTATGTCGAGTATTGTGCAGAATGTGACTAGCGAATATAGATGTAAGGAGATCTATCATTTTAAAAATAAAACTAAGTTTATTAGTATTTACAAATCCATATCATACAGAAATAGTCAAATGATGAATAACATAAATTAAAAATCAGATTTCTCTGTAAATTGATGTTGGGGACCCCTGTTGTGTAAAGTAGCAGTCTCTTCATGTCCGGATAGCCTATGGGCTCAGCCTCATATGCAGAGATTCCTTTTTCAGCAGGGTGCCTTCCTGGCATCTTCCTGACTCATCTTTTGAAGTAGCCATGGCCTCTGGCTCTGGAACTGCCAGGTTTTCCTGTGTGATTTTCAGACAATGTCTGGCAGCCTGGCAGGAGCCCACCACCACATGTAAATAGGGCATCCTAAAAGCACCTATCAATTAAGGCTTTTGCCACTGCCCCCACAGTATAAATATCCTGGTTTCCCCTAATTAATCGGAGCTGAATCACTAAGACCTGGAGCTGAGCTGAGTCACTGAATAAAGGAGCTGTACCACTAAGTCTGACTGAGCTGAGCTCTGTGTCTTACTGCCTACGATCCAGTCTCTCTGGAGGGGGCTGTCCCTTCGTAAACGACTCGCGGAGACCCTGCTTTCGCCATCCCGCACCTCCCCTCGTGACCCGGTAGCTGACGGATCTCGAACCCAGAGGGAGTGCCCAGTAGATTGGGATGGAACCCACCTAGAAACACAGCGATCAGTAGAGTCGCCAGCATCCAGTAGTTGCGGAGAGCCTCAGCAACGCGGTGTGCGACATGCGCGCACCCCAGCAACGCGGTGCGCGGGACCTGCCCCAGCGGCACGGGAGAGACAGGCGCCAGCCAGCAGCTGGCGCTTCACGAAACCCGTGCACCCATATGCCACTACATTTTTATTGCCTAATATGGCAATGGATATACCACAATTTACTGATTAATCAGCTGGACGTATGGGTTTCTATGTATGATACTTGTAGACATATTTAAACACTCCTTTTCAATTTTTTTGGTCGTTTTGAGACGATCTCCCTGTAGCCCCTGCCCCCCACACACACCTGGCCTGAACTTCTATGTAGACCAGGCTGGCCTTGAATGCAGAGATCTGCCTGCTCTGCCTCCCAAGTGCCTGGGATTAAAGGCATGTGCCACCATGTCTGGCTCCTTTTATTTTTTTATGTACACTAGGAATGGAATTGTAGGGTCATATGGTTGTTTTGCTTAAACCTAAAAATTTTGTGTGTTGGGACTGGAGAGATGGTTCAGTGGTTAAAAGCACTGGTTGCTCTTGCCGAGGACCCAGGTTTGGTTCTCAGCATCCATACAGCAGCTAACAACCGTCTGTAACTCCAGTTCCAGGGGATCCAATGCCCTCTTCTTAACTCCACGGACACTGCAGTACACAGTGCACTTACATAGATATGAGCAATATACTTGTATACACAAAAGTTTTGTTTGTGTGTGTGTGTGTAGAGGTCTGAGGACAACTTTCTGGAATCCATTTAAGTTCAATTGTGCTCAATATAGAGGAGCTGACAAACTTTTCCAAGAGACAGCACCATTTTCTATTCTAGCCATCAATGTATGAAGTTTACAATCTCTCCCTTATCAAGAGCTCATTATTTTCTATTTTAGTCATGTATAAGCCACTACTGGGAGTATGTCATCATGACTGATGGTAATGGGCATCTTTTTAGGTTTTGAGGTGCTTTAGAGACCATCTCTTTATATTTTTTTGAGAAATATCTATTCAGAGTTTTTGTCTTTTTTGTAGTTGGGTTATTATTGAGTCTTAAGAGTTACTTCTAGTGCCGGGCATGATAGCACACGCCTTTAGTCCCAGCACTTGGAAGGCAGAGGCAGGCAGATTTCTGAGTTCAAGGCCACCCTGGTATACAGTGTGAGTTCCAGGCCAGCTGGAGTTACAGGGAGACCCTGCCTCCCCCCCACCCCCCAAAAAGCGTTATTCTTTATTTTGGACATATTTTGTAAATATTTCTTCTAATTTTGTGGGTGTTTGTTTTTTGTACATAGATTTTTTTTTTCTTTCCTGTAGTATTTTGCTTTAATGAAGCTGAATTTTCTAATTCTGGCTTCTTTGTTCATTCAGTTTTGTTCAGGAAACTCCTAGAGGCATTCTTCTGCCTTCGTGGCTGTCAGGTTGTTACTGATGTACTATGTCACCGCACCAGGCTCCCTCTGACAACAAGGTCCTTCCAAGCGGCAACAAAGGGAGAAGGAGTCATGACCCCCACTACGCACTTGGGGGAAAAGCAGAACCGACCGAAGCAACAGTGTGTGTGAATGGGTCTGGCACTCATGGCAAGGCCAAATGCTGAGGGAAAAACAGGCTGCCAGTAGCATTAGCATGCAGTCTTAAATCCCTGCCCTTTGATCTCCCACCCTCCCCAACTGGACTTTAGGGGTGAGCACTTCCTACTGCTAACTCAGATCCTCATGACTTCTAACCAAGTTATCCCACCTGACCTCCAAACACCATTAATATACAAACTTGGGGATTAAATGTCCAGCACTTGAATGTTTGGAGGACAAATTCAAACCACAGCCTACATTTAAAACAAACATGGAGAAGGGAGGACAAGTGTACTTACTCTGAACGACTTCCTGATACAGTCAACTGAGCAAAATTTTTCACTTTTTCTCGAACTACTTGTATTCCACGTTCATCGGATGCATTTAACTCAAGAACTCTTAATCGAAAGAGTTCAGGCCTATTTAAAAACAAAACAGTGTGACCATCATTCAGTATACAAATAACCCAGGAGCAGATGCTATTTGAACTTAGTAGTTTATCCACCTAGTAAGCAATAGAGATAGAAGGCAGGGGTCCCACCTGCCAAATGTTGGCTTTTGCAGAGCCAAGCACTTAGGCTTTTGTTTTCTTCTTTTTTTCGGTCTTTTTGAGACAGGGTCTCCCTGTAACCCCAGCTGTCCTGGAACTCACTATGTAGACCAGGCAGGCCTTGAACTCACAGAGATCTGCCTGCCTCTGCTTCCCAAGTGCTGAGATTAAAGGCGTGTGCCGCTATGCCCGGCTTGGCTTTTTGTTTAATACAGTAAAAAAAAAAAAAAAAAATTATACGTAACATTTTAATTTCTTACTTAGTATTGTGTAACTAATATCTTTCTACTGAAACTACAGTAATATGATATTCCTTAGGTAATTTACTTCAATTGTTACCCATTTATCTAGTAGTAAATGTTATAATTTAGCACATTTTGAATTATTTCTATAAGCTAGCTTGCTATAAGGAAGATTACTGGTTTAGAAAACATGAACCTATTCATGCTGTATGTATAGCTAGGGACCAGATTCAGTGCCTTGCACATTCTAGGTAAGAAGCACTCTAGCACTAAGCTACACTTCAAGCTTATATGAACATCATCTCATTCTTTTGTTTTTCTATTTTTGAGAGAATGTCACAGCCAGGCTGGACTAGAGCTCTGTCTGTGGCCCAAGGCAGCCTCAAACTCAAGACCGTCTTCTCCCCTTTCTCAGCGCGCACAACACAGATCTTAGACATAACAAGTGCATGGAAAATGCTCTGGCAAACCAGATTCAAAGTTCCCTCCAGTCTTCCGTCTGTACACAGACAAATGCACATACATTCTCCTCCTTTTGTTTGGAAACAGGATCTTGCTATGTTGCCCAAGGTGGCTGAGATTACAGGAGTGGGCCATCATGCCCAGCGCACTGTATTATTTTTAAATAAAAAACAAAAGCTTGGCATGACTTTAATTCCAGTGTTTGGGAGGCAGAAGCAGGTGGAACTCTGTGAGATCAAGGTCAGCCTGGTCCAAACAGTGACTTCCAGGTGGGCTGGGACTAGGGAGATTAAGTAAAACAAAAACAAAAACAACAAAACCCTGACAAGCTAAGAATACAGCTCAATGGTAGAGCAAATAGTTGGCATTCATGAGGTCCTGGGTTCAATACACAGCACTGAATCCACCCCCCAAAACCCTCACACGAGTTATGAATTGGGTTCTTAAATTTATTATTTTTATTTACTTATTATGTGTTCGAGTATTTTGCCTGCATGTATGTAAAATTGCCATGTGTGATGCAGTGCCTGTGGAAATGAGAAAGTGGCTGGCTGGTGGTAGGTTAGTACATATTTTCCAAGTTATATATATTATATATGATGAAAACTACATGCAAACCATGAGGGTCTAGGATTTGAACTCAGGCCACAGGCTTGTGAGGCTAGTACCAGCTGAGCCATCTTGCTGGGTTTAAAAAAATTTCTTTTACAAGGTGTTTTAAGCTGATATTTTAAATACTTTAGCTCACTGTAAGTGAATTTCTCCATTTAAACTTTATGTGTGGTGTATGTAATGTAAATGGTGGTTCATGTATGTTTGTGATATGCAGATGTGCAAGCCTATGCTTGAATGTGGAGGCCAGAGGAAAATATCAGATGTCTTCCTCTACTGCTTTCTGCCATTCTCTGTTGACACAGGGGTCTCCCACCGAATCAGGAGCTCACTGTTTTAGGTTAGGCAGGCTGGCTAGACAGCTGTCAGAATCCTGCCTCCCATGCCTGTTTTTTACATGAGTACTAGGATTCAAACTCAGGTCCTCCTGCTTGCACAGCAAATGATCTTCGTACCCACTGAGACACCTTCCCAATCTTGGTGAGTCTTTCAAATTGCTGCAAATCTTTAAGAGAAAAAGAAACTACATAAAAAAAAATTGTGTGTATGTGTGTGCCTGCCTGCCTAGAAGTTAATATTGGGTGTCTCCCTCAATCACTCCCCACTTTTTTTGAGATAGTCTCTCTTTCTCTGTACCTGGAGCTCACAGACTGGCTGGCCAGCAAGCCCTAGGGATCTTCCCATCTCTGCCTCCTCAGCTCTAGAATCACAGGTGCATGCTGCCATGTTCACAGTCTATGTATACACTAGGGATCAAATTTATGTTCTCATGCCTGTGATACAAGCACTTTACCAACTGAGAAATCTCCCTAGCCCCCACTGGACATCATTTAACTCTAGTGACGTCCTCCTCTGGAATAGGTTGAATAGTCAAAACAGTAAATGTAGGAAGAGGGATCTAAGCAAAAATCACAGCAGAGTTTCTAACACACTTCAAATTATACTCCATCAATGATTAGTCACTGTGCTTATACTCAGGAGACTTGAGGACAAGGAACTGGCCAGGCTACTAATGGCAGGGCTATCATAAAGCTATAGAGATGAATCATTTAGAGGATGTGATATGGTCATCTGAGCTCCCAAATTAAATTCTAATGAAAAAATAATCAGAAATTCCTGTATTCAACACTTGGACAAGGTTCAGAGTTGTAGGGAACTGATTTACTGGAGAGGGGAGAATAGAATGGGGCAATGAGATTAATAATAATGAAAATCACCAGTACAGCCAATAACCCCCACAGAAAGAGAAAGGGATGGCAGGAAGCATACCAAAATTTTGGTGTCAAGTCTTTTTAAAGATTTTTATTTATGTGTGAGTGTATGCCACCTTGTGCAGATGTCCTCAGAGGTCAGAAAAGGTATAGGATCCTCTGAAGCTGGAGTTACAGGTATCTGTGAGCTAGGAACTGAACTTGGGTCCTCTGCTAGAACAGCACATACTTTTAACTGTTTAGCTATCTGTTGTGGTTGGCTGTGGTTGTCAACTTGACACAGGTAGGAAGAGAACCTCAATAAACAATGGAATTGACCTGTGGCATTTTCTTGACTGTTGAGTAATGTGGGAGGGCCTAGCCCACTGTGGGCAGTGCCACCCCTGGGCAGGTGGTCTTGGGTTATATAAGAAAGCAGGGTGAGCAGAGGCCAGAGGAGTAAGCCAGAAATGGTTACTCTGTTATCTGTACTCCAGTTCCTGTCTCCAGGTTCCTGCCCTGGCTTCCCTCAATAAGCTGTGATAGGGGCATTCAAGTCAAACAAATCTTTTCCTCCGTAAGTTGGTTAATTAGAGTGTTCTATCACAGCAAAAGAAAGCTAACAAGGACACCATTGCTCTAGCCTGTTATCAAGTCTTAAAGAAATTGATTGGCCTACTTCAACTTACCCAAAAAGTTCTCTAGCTGCTGCCAAAATTGTGGATGTTTTGCCAGTTCCAGGTGGCCCGTAAAACAAGAGGTTAGGAAGCTGCAGAAATTAAATTTTAATTCTTATAGATTGTATTCTGGCACAAATGTGCAATGACTTTCCTGATAGAGAATACGTATCTAAAGATTTAATACAAAAGCTATCACAGTATTGAAAGTTCTAAATATGACTTGGAACTTGCTATGTAACTGAAGATGACCTTGAACTCCTGACTTTGTGCGTGAAACACTTAGAATGGCTCCTAACAGCTAAGTACTTTACCCTTGGAATATGTTTCTCAACCTGGCCTCTAACTCCATTCTTTCTGCCAAGTCTAATCCAGGCATCCAAGTTGGAAGCCTTATCTCATCTTATTCATTGTTCTTGCTACACATTTTAATTTGCATTTATTTATTATTACCCACTTAACAGTTTAGTTTAATTGTAAAATACCCAGCTACCTCACTAAGTAGCTCATCTAGAAAGATGAAGAACATTCCATTCATTTATGTAATACTCAGCATCTACTGCAGGAAAATTTAATTGTGAAATGCATGGATAAACCAACATACAAATCTGTTAATCAGAAGACTAGTACTTTTACATTAATAACACACAATTTAAGATACAAGTCATGAGACTCTACTTACAAATAAAGATCAAAATACTCTGTCTGATGAGTGAAACTGTCAACCTGGTAGGATCTGGAGTCACTAGTGGCAAACCTGTAGGCATGTGCATAAGGAATACCCATAGGGTAGTGTTTCCTTGGGTCAGCCAGCAAAATACACTGAGGTTCATGCAACTGTCACCCGTGGGGTTGAGGCTACACAGAACTTGGCATCAGTAATTACTGGTTTGATGAAAGATACAAGAGTAAGGAAGTCCTAATGCTTGTGCTGAAGTTTATAAAGGCTCCTGGGCCAAGGCATAAAGCTCTAAAGATGAGGCCTAAGTTGTAGTGGAGACCCAGGATGTCCGCAATGCCAAAACTAAGGGATGTCTGCTGAGGAGCTGGCCCAGGAGAGGGCAGAGCTGGAGGGGTGGGGCTACCTAAGTCCTCTGTCAGGATCCTCAGATACGGAGCTGTAAGATTTGATGTTTATCCTGCTGGGTTCTGGATTTGCTTTGGTCTGATCTTTCCTTGCTTTGCCTCCATTCTTCCCTTGTGGAATGGGGATGTTTATTCTGTGCCATTATATATTAGAATGATATAACTTTTGAGTTTTAAGGGGGTTCACAGTTTAGAGTCGCTGACCTTACACATTTAAGCAGTGTTGGAACAGTTGAAGACTTATGAGGACTTTTGAAGTTGTTCTGAATGCATTTTGCATTATGAGTGGTCCATGAGCCTATGGGGACAAGGGTTAGAATATTATAGCTTAAAAGTGATATGCTTGGATTGACAAGGTGTGGACTTGTGAAGGCTACTCTTGACAACGTGACAAGATCTGCCTCTGAGCATGTCTGTGAGAGATTATCCAGTTAACTGAGGTAGGAAGACCCACCCTTATAGATAACTTGTTTGTATTTACCTGGTTTATCTTTGTTTTTTCTTTTTTCTTTTTGAGACAAGGCCTCTCTGTAGCCCCAAGTGGCCTGGAACCCACTGGCCTCAATCTCACAGAGGTCCTTGCCTCTGCTTCCCCTAGAGCTGAGATTAAAGATGTGCCACCACTCCTGAACAGTTTATTTTATTCTATCTTTCCTTACAAAAATAAAATTTCATGGAGAAAAGGTATTAATCTGTCTTATTCAGTGATTTTTAGTCAAACACTATATAGCACCATAGGACTGAACAGAAAATGATTAGAGATTTGGTGGATTATAGTTGCACAAATATCAAAAACTTACTGTATATACAATATCTAATGACAGCAGAGTTAAAACAAAGAAAAAGAATAAATTAAGCCTTGAATTTCCCACTGACATCAAATAACATACACTTACATCAGCTCCTTCTAAAGACTTTTTCAGCACTGCAACTACTTCTTCCTGGAAAGCAACTTCATCTACACATTTTGGGCGGCTGGAGAATGTAAAGGGAGGCTATTTAGTATATTGTGGTAACCACAGAAATGCCAAGTGTTCCTTCTGCTAAAATACCAGTAACTCTTCTATATTAGTAATAAAATGAGAAATTAACATATTTGGAAGTAGAGAGAAACTTCATTTGTATTTATCTTAAGCAAATGGAATGAAATTATTTTTACTGCATGCATAAAAAAATTAGGCAGGATTTCATTTCATATATCACAAATAACAACTAAGAATTAAACTGAATACTTGCCTAGAAAGTAATATATTTTGACAAGATCATGAATGTGAACTGAAAACTATTTAATAATCTAAACTATTTTGGTTAATTTACATTCATATGTTCAGTTAATACATTAAATGGTCAATACCATTTTTCCCCTAACACCTACCTACACCAAAGTGAAGTTGATCTACTCACATAAAGGCTAAACAAAATAAAATTTTAACCAATATAATGCATAATAATATATAATTTCTATCTTAAGCCATTAGTGATTTTAAGAGAAACTACAACAAAGTTGGGCTCTCAAACGTAAGGCCAGTCTTTCTGCTTAGTAAACTAAACTTTTTTTTTTGGTTCTTTTTGAGACAGGGTCTCCCTCTAGCCTCAGCTGGCCTAGAACTCACTATGTAGACCAGGCTGGCCCTGAACTCACTCACAGAGATCCACCTGCCTCTGCCTCCCAAGTGCTGGGATTAAAAGCGTGCGCCACCATGCCCAGCATAAAACATTCTTTTATTTAAAAATATTTTATGGGGGCTGGAGAGATGGTTCATTGGTTAAGAGCACTTCCTGTTCTTCCAAAGGACCCAAGTTCTTTTCCCAGCACTCACATCAGGCAGTTCACAACTGCCTGTAACTCCAACTCCAGGGGCTCTCCCCCTTCCGACCTTCATAGGCACCCATAAATAGGTATCATACATTCACACAAGCACATAAATAAAATGAAGAAAAAAAAAACAAAACTTTTTTCATTTTATTTGGTGTGTTGCCACTGCACACAAGTGGAGGCCAGAGAACACCTTGTGGAAGTCAGTTCCCACCTTCCATGTAGGTCCCAGGGATTGAACTCAGGCCATCAGGCTTGATGGCAAATGCCTTTATGTGTTAAGTCATCTCACTGCCCCCGTCCCCGCCTCAAAAAAATTGTATTAGTGTGTGCATGTTATGGCACATAGCTGAGGGTCAGATGACAGCTTTGGGAAGTTGGTTCTCTGTGGTGTTCCAGGAATCCAACTCAGGTTGTCAAGCTTGCATAGCAAGTGTTTTTTTTTTACCCATGAGCCTTTTCACTGGCTCAAAAATTATTTGACTCATATTTTTATAATTAATCATGTTAATACCAGACAGGAATCACTGTGTGTATTATAAATCAGAGTAAACTTAAAAATCTACACTTCCTCTTCCTCAGCATTTTTTTTTTTTTTTTTTTTTTTTTTTGGTCTTTTTGAGATAGGGTCTCCCTGTAGTCCCAGCTGACCTGAACTCACTATGCAGACTGGCCTTGAACTCACAGAGATGTGCCTGCCTCTGCCTCCTGAGTGCTGGGATTAAAGGCATGTGCCACCACACCCGGCCCACCAGCATATATTTTAAATAAAAAATAGTTTTGGAGTCAGTGAGATGGCTCAGCAGGCAAAGGCACTTGCCACCAAGCCTGAAGAAAAAAATGGAATTGTGGATTAGGAGTACATCTCAGTGGTAGAGTGTTTGCTTACAAGTGAAATGTCCTAGATTTGTTAATAAAAAGTAAATTTAAAATATAGATTAGGACAGGGAGATGGCTCAGCAGGTAATACCTCACACTAGCCTCACAACCCTGATGACCTGATCCATGGAACTCATGTAAAAAGCCAGATCCAGTGGTGCACATCTGTAATCCCAGCACTCCTCAGTGAGATGTGAGATAGAGGTAAGAGAATTGTACATAAGCTCAAGGGCCAGCTAACTTGGAATATGTAGCATAGCAACAAAAACAAGAGACCACCCTGCATTCCTTAACAAGGTGGAAGGAAAAAACAGACTCCCAAAACCTTAGACCTCTACATGCATGTCATAGCACACACATACACTTTCACTCATGCAGGCATGAGTACACACACAAAAATAAATAAATAAAAGCAAACAAATTATCGTAAGTACCACTGCTGCCAAACAAAAAGGAAGGCTTTGCTTGGCTTTTAAGTAACCTGAAAATCCTTGGTAATGACTGAGGCTCTAACTAGCTTATGGTTACAATTGCTTTTATCATTTAGCTGATGACAATTTAGATACCACTTCAAATCCTGTTTATGCTAAAAATGTATAAACAAAATTCAACATGTCTACCTAATAGTAATAAAAAGGGGACAGATTTTTATTCTAACCAAGTGTTTAGCGCTAGCTTATAGAAATTTCGCTCTCTTCACTTCTGTATCCTAGACCCTTTAAAACTGTAGACTTTATAAAAATCTTAGTTCATATATAAGAGAGTTAAACTACATCATTTTATGTTTCAGTTCCAAGGTCCTATGGCTTATATAATTGAGTACATTTTCCCATCAAGGGTAGCATCTAAATAAAACAAATTATTCTGATATTAAAATAATAAGGTGACCAAAACTGGCTAGAGAGGAAATTTATTAGTTACTTCAACAAAAACACAAGATGTTCTTACTATTTTTCTACCCAGGGAACAGGTCTGACTTTCTTGTTGTCTCCACTGCTTCCTGCAGTGGCAGATGCTCCCCGATCCTTGGGCAATGGTGGTTTAGAACTGACAGATGTGCCTTTCAGAAATGCTTGCATGGTTACTTCTCCTGGGTGCGAGAAAAAAGAAAGAAAAAAAGTTCTTGAAACCATTATAAGCAAGTTCAGCTGAAAAGGTACTGTGCAAAGGTACTCAATAATTACTTAATAAATCACAAGCCTCATGATTTTGAATGCTCTGAAGGAACTGCTCTGAAGGAACTCTAGGGTCATAGAGTCATAAAAGAGGTCAAAATCCTTAAAGAAGTTTCATCTATCTATAGGTATGGAAATATGAACCAAATACAAATTGTATGTCAGAATTATTACTACTATTATTGAGACAAGGTCTCAACTATATAGTCCTGGCTGGCCTGGAACTCAAGAGATTTGCCTGCCTCGGCCTCCCAGAGTGCTAGGATTAAAGGCATGTACCACCACACTCAGTGTCAGGAGCATTTTAAGAGTTCCAAATGCACTGGTAAATGTTATTAGCCACTGAACTGTACCCGAGCCTCTATAGTCTCTTCCATTTCAGCCACGGTCCCAGCTTTCGCACCGATTCTTAAGTAAACTGGGCAAGGAGTGTAGGGGCCACAGATGAGAGCCTTCATTACTTTCCTTGGGCATTGCGCTCCAGTTTTCCTGGTAAGCCAGTGCTGGCCTTCAGAGATGGACTACTAAAAGGCTAAGAGCTATTTTTCTGATGAACTGTTCGGTTGAATGAATCAAAACAATGCAGAAAACAATGAGATAGTGTAAAGATTTATACAAACTCTCAGAAGAAACTACCGATGCAAACTCACTAGGCCGTTTGCAGGGACACAAGTACCACCCCTCCCCCATCATCAGCTTGCCCGACCCCCCCAGCATCAATGGCAAATGGGGGAACCGGAGCCACAGGCCCGCTCGCCGTAGTCTCGCCGGCCGCGAGCCCGCTCCCTGCAGCCGCCCGTCCACCGCGGGGCCCTAGCCTAGAACCCGGGCGAGGAAACTCACGGTGACTGCCGGACCCCAGCTGCCGCGGTTCCCGCCACGGACGGTGAGCGAAAGGCACGGCGGGAGGACCGGCACGCCCTGCGTCACTTCCGGCGTGCTGGGCGCGCCCTGGGCGGTGTGACCTCCGTTGCCTGGCTCGGCCGGCCTTTGATTGCCCTCGGGCTTCGGGTGTGTGGACTGCAACGAGCAGGTTGGACTGAGAGCCTGGAAGGCGGACCCTACCCTAACTCCACGGCCCGCTGGCCGGGTCCACGCGGACCGTTACCTGGACGCTCTGCCACGTGCGCGGCCCCTGGACCGCAGCCACCGCCGCTGCAGTCTGCGGGGAGCTGCCCCTGGGTGCGCTGCACAGTCGGTCTTTTTGCTTGGTGGCCACCACTGCTTTCATAAATGAGATACCTGAAAACTTGCCTTTCCTTGGCCTCTTGTGCACCCGCTGAGCCATCTAGCCAATCCAGTGCGTGTGCCATCTACCTTCTTTAGTGTGGGCTTATTCAGAGAGAACCGTGTATGCAGCTGTGGATATCCTCAACTTACAAATCTAGTGGGTAGGTGGCTCAGCAGTTAAGCGCACTTGCAGAGGACCCAAGTTTGGTCCCCAGCACCTACATCAGGCAGCCCACAACCATTTGTAATTCCATTTCCAGAGAGTCTCACGCCCTCTTCTGGTCTCTTTGGACACCTGCATATAGGTGCGTGCACACAAGACACACTATATATATATATATTTTAAAGCTACTGTTGTGGGTTCTCAGTAAAAGCCCAAGGAGTGCGTTTAACCTCACCAGAGTTCATGACTTCTTGCACTGTGGGCTCTAGGCCATGACAGAGCTCAGCCTCTTTTATCTTGGTCTCAAGTTCTTGGTTTAGCTCTGAATTGTTCCTGCTCTTAATTGAAACCTGATTCTTCTCAGATGCTACCTTCTCCACAGGGCTTTACTAATTACCCATAAAGTTGATCCAGGTCTTCTCTAAGTGAATGTAACTTGTGCTTGTGCATGATATTCATTGTAACATTCTCTGCATGTTAGCGTGTCATGCAGCAAATGCTTACTAAAAGGCCAAGCTTTGGTGAGAACAGCAGAGAACAAGCCAGAGGAGGCCCTAGAGTAGCTTTGAAGAATAAAAGTTGAATGGAGAGAGAGCTCAGTGGTTAAGAGCACTGGCTGCTTTTATGGTTGGACGTACCAGAGACCCACATGGAGGGCAACAGCTAAAAGAACTAGTTCCAGAGACTCTACCTCTCTCTTCTGGCCTCTGTAGTTCACTTACATGCAGGCTAAACACTCAAAATAAAAATTAAAAAAAAACAACAACACATTTTTTTTAAAAGAACAGCAGTTTAAGAAAATGAAAGGTGAGCGTGGTGGTGTATACTTTGCAGTCCCAGCACTCAGGTGGCTGAGCAGGAGGATGGCCAGCCAGGCTTCAGAGCAAGACTGTCTCTGAAACAAAACAACAGCAACAACAAAAACAATGAAAAGAATCCAAAAACGTGATGAGTATTTTGCAGAGGAAGGAAAGAGCTGAGAGACCATACATCACAGGAATAATGAATTAAGGGATTAACCAGTTTAAATGTGCTTTCTGCTACTTTGTAACTTCCTCTGGGCCTGCCTGGTACAATCCCTGGGAAGTATGGAGCATGGAGGTCAGCTATTTGACTATTGGTTTACTTTTGCATAATTGATTAAATTATACACCTGATGTCTGTGTATTTTGTTGTATGTAAGTTATATCCTGTTCAGTCAGTGCAACAAAGAACTGTGAAACTTGACTATACCCATTTACTGGTTGAACAAACACCAGAACCTGACACAGGGAAATATTCCGTTTTATAGATAAGTTTTAGTCTTTGTTCATTCAGGTTGTTATATGACAATACCACAGACTAGATGGGTTATAAAAAACAAATTCTCTTTAAATTCTAGAGGTTGGGAAGTTCAAGTTCAAGTGCACTGGCAGATTCAGTGTTGAGGGCTTGCTGCCTCATAAATAGCTGTCCTCTCAGTCTGACCTCATGTATTGTAACTACCTCCCTCTGGCCTTCTTTTAGATGAACCAATTTCATTCAGGAGGGCTCTACTCTCATGACCTAATCACCTCCCAAATTGCTCACCTCTTAATAGCATCACCTTGAGGGTTGTCATTTCTAAGTCAAATTTACTGCTGGGAGGCGTGCTTGGCTTCCAGGCCCACTTTGGCCCCCTCCTCCTGCTGTCCTTAGGACCAACTGAGAAATCATTCCTCCAAACTGCAGTTTAGGGAATAAAAATATTTATTGGGCTTACTAACAGAGCATATGATGGCTTGAGGGGCTACTTACAAAGAATGAGTACCCTTGGGCTGTTTTTTTCTCTACATTTTAGCCCGGCCAAGACTTCTGAACATGTGGCCACTGGTCCAAGATGGCAAAGTACCCTCCCCTCTCTGGCTTCCCCTGTGTCTATTCTCATGTCCTGTGTCCCTGCCCCTCATGCAGTTAAGGCTGATCAATTGGGTAGGAAGGGTGACTGTCTTCCTCTGCCCCTCCCTTCCCTACGGAGAGTTTTAGGGTCCAACCAGTTTGACGTAAGCAGGGAGAAGCTAGAGAAGAAGGCATCTATCCATTTGCTTGCCAGTTTGGCTTGACACTCGGAGGACACACTTATCCAACATTTCAGTGCATGAATTTGGGAGTACAAACATCCAGGCCATCACCAGTAATATCAAATAAATAGCAAAGCCAGAATCTATAGGTAGAACTGTCTGACTAGTGTCAGGGCTTGTAATCAGTCACTGGGCAGGTCTAGAGGTGCTTTATGCTAAGCAGTGAAAAAAAGAGTTGAATGGTAGCCTGTTTCAGCAGTTGATTTAGAAAAAGTGCCACCACCTTCTAGGCATATTCAGCTCTGAGTTGGGCTGGAGTTCGGTCTCCACCTGAACCCCTGGTTGACTGTAATTTTTTTCTATGACATTTACTTATTTAGGGGGGTGTAGAAGTGAGAGAACAACTTGTGGGAGTCAATTCTCTCCTACCATGTGGGTCCCAGAGATCAAATTCAGGCCTGATGACAGGCACCTTTACCCACTGAGCCATCTCACTAGCTCCCATTTCACTATTATACACCACTGTAGGCAGTATCTAATCCAAAGAGTCCATCAGTTTGTTTGCACAGCAAGCATTGTCTTAGAACAGGAAACACCTTCTGTAGACACATACTTTTTTTGTATTATGCGTACACAGGTGCTCGTTATTAAAATAGTTGAAAAGTTTATAATGACATTATTTGTTACTCATGCTGCTATTATGCTATTATTTAGGATGTGGAGATTTGTGAAGTTTTTAATATCTATTTTTAATTATGTATGTGTGTGTATGTGTTTGTGTGTGTATGGCCATGTGTGTGCTGGTACCCAAGGAAGTCAGAAATATCAGACCTCCTGGAGCAGGAAATAAAGGCGGTGAGCTGCCTAATGTGGGTGTTGGGAACTGAACTCAGGGTCCTCTGCAAGAGCAGTATGGACTCTTAACTGCTGAGCCATCTCTTCAGGCCATTGTAATGTTTTGATGTATAAGAGGGCTTCCAAAAGTTGAATACAGTTCTATATAGTGTTACCCTTTAAAACAGGCCAGAATTTAATTTGGAGTTACTAGGAAAAGAAAGGAAAGACACTTGGAAGGAAAATGAAAAGAGAGGTGTTGGGGAGGGAAGGGTTAGGTGGTAGATGGCAGTGCTGTTTTAAAGTCAGAAAATGTAGGTGTAGCACCACCTTTCAGGTCTGAGACACTCTTCCAGCTGCTGGGAGTAACAGCTGGCAGCTTACAACCGAATTCTTTTCCAGTCATTTTTCTCAGCCCAACTCAGTCACTTTGTTGCATTCCTTCTTTAGGGGTAGCCTAACTCCCAGGATTAGTACAGGATGGGCATAAAGTCTTGGCTTCTTTGACTTAGGGTGGCACAATTGATTTAAAAATTCTTCTTCTTCTTCTTCTTCTTCTTCTTCTTCTTCTTCTTCTTCTT